TTGGTAGTCAACCTATGAATGAGAATAATACACATAATGATGATAATGACGAAGAGGTTGAAAAGTGGACTAATAAAAATCAAGTGGATGATATTGAAGAAGTTGAAGATGTTATAGGAAGAAATAAAAGAAAAAAAAGATCTAAAGTTTGGGATGACTTCAAAGAAGTTAGTCTCCTACTGGGCAAAAAAAAGGAGAATGTGTACATTGTAAAAAAACACTACTTATTGGAGTTACTGGTGCAACAACACAATTTAAAAGACATTTGGACCGATGTGCTGCTAGGATTCGTGCCATCAAAAAGCAAAAAATCTTACACTTCCAACCATCAGATATAGAAAACTCATTCTCTTAGAGCAGTCAAGATGGTGGAATGTTGCATGTCCAACAGAGGAGGAGTGGCATATGTTGCATGTCCAACAGAGGAGGAGTGGGATAAAATTGAAAAGGTTTGTGATGTTTTGGGATTCTTCAACGAAGCAACTGATATTATTTCTGGAACAGATTACCCTACAACAAATTTATTTCTTTCACAAATTTGTACTATTAAGAAGGTGTTGGATGAGTGGCCACGTACCATTAATCGAGCTCGAATTCGAGCTCGAGCTCATTAAGGATCAAACGAGCCAGGCTTGATAAGGCTAATACTCGACTCGACTCGACTCGTTTACACCCCTACCCTAAACCCCATTTACTAAAAAGAAGGTGAGACACTGATTATCAATAAAGGAACTAACCCGAGGCATTGTTTCTTCTCGAAAGCTTCGAACTAGGAAGAAGATGAATAGTTGCCGGAAATGCGGGGAGCTTCGAACTTGGAAGAAGAAGAATAGTTGCCGGAAGAAAATTTTTGTATATGCAAGCAAATGATGACTGAAGTGAAAGACGATGATCTTTATTTGCAAATTAAACAAAAATTTCGGGTCCGCCGGGATTTTCTTGGGTTCGCTTGCCGGGCCGTCAAATTCAAAAAACGCACTTGCCATAAACCAAATATTCGTCGGGTCGGGTCTGCGAAAATGAGGCTGCTACGTGGCGCTTGATTAGGCTATGCCGAACGTAGAGTTGCGTCAGGTAACCTGAGGCAATAAAAATTCCTTCCAAAGAAGAGTTCTCTGCTTAGCACAAGAATTTCTAGCATTTAGTAGAGAGTATTGTTGAGGGCTAAAATGTATGCAACGATAGATTTAAAATTTTTCGTCTCATCGTTATACGGATATCTAACACATAAACAGGAAAAATTCTGAAAAAGGGAAAAATTGCCCAATCGAAATGATTCAACGATACTTGAATAGATTAAAAAGCTTGATCTGTCCCTTAATTAAAAAACTGTGAAAATATAATAATAGGGAGAGTTGAGCGGTGGCCCGGCTTCAATCAGTGACTGGGAAAAACTCCGGCTTCAGTCGACAGTCTGGCAAAAGTCAGGTGATAGTCGACGGCTAGGAGAAAGTCTGATGTCGGTCGACGACGGGACCAAAGTAATATTCTTTAAAATTAATGTAATGCATATATAACAAATATTATATAAATCTAAAATTTTGGAAACATATTCTGGTTAATTTTTTACAAAAATATCATAATATATAGAATTCTAATTTATTTACCAACTAAATTAAGCTTTTTACACCCCACTCATTAAGAATTGCTGTTTTGGAGGGGTTGCGTCTCGCTGTTTAAAAGAATTGCTGTTTTTCATGCATTAATCACTAGCTACAACTATTTTCTCTCCTCTCTCTCCCTCTCCATCTCTCGCCGCATTGGGGAAAACTGGTTCGTCCGAAGACTGGCAGAGAAGGTGAAAATTGTTCCTTTCCGCTGTTATTCACATTCTTCTCCTTCAAATTTGTTTGTTTATCATGAAAAATATCCCACTCTTTCTTTTATTATCTTGTTGTTAATTTGCCTTATTCCATCCGATTTCTTAGAAATTAAGTTAGAATTGCTTTGATCAATATAATAGTTTTTATTAACTGTAATGTCTTCCTTCTTGGCACAACATAATTTTACTCTCCATAAAAAAAAATTACTCTCCATTTATTTGGATCGATTAGGTTATCAAACTCCTTCATACAATTTTTTCTATTTCTCTGAGGACAAATTCTTCTCTATCTGTCGGCCGTAATTTCTCTTATTCTTATGAGAAAAGTTCTTGTTGTGCGTGGAAGAAATAAATCAACCACTAAACCTTCCAGCTTTTATAGCTCGATCGTAATTTTAAAGATTTATTTGTAAATCGAACTTTTACGAAATTGATTTCCAAAGGCAAAACAGTAGGTTAATTAATGTTTATTGATTTCCATGAACATGAAAGAACTAATTTCAAGTAACATTTGTAAAGAAATGAAAAACAAGAACATAATAAATTTATATATGGTTCAGAGTTCTTACAAATTTTCTACATTCACAGAGCAATCATCATCATTTTTTTTTTCAAATATGTAGAGAAAATAAGATACAAGAATTGTATATACATAAATTATTTCAAACTTTTCCAACAACATCCTACACTCAGCTAAATCGATATACAACTTGCTTATATATAGTAGAAAAGTACTCCAAAACATATCTTTAACAATAGCCAGTGGTGAGCGATGGCCGGCAGCCGATGGTGGCAGATGACGGTGGTTGGTGGCCGAAGGTGGTAACCAGCGATGGTGGATGACAGCCAGCGGCGATGGCAATGACGATGCGCTTGCAATGTATTTACAAATCGTCCAAATTGAAGGAAATTCCAAATACACTAAAAATGCACTACTTAGAATATTTGGAATGCAATCTTTTTTACAATCTATATGTTACTTTACTTCAAACCAAGTACCAAAAATTTTAAAACCCCTGCATTACATTTGTATTACTTTACACTATAAATACAGGCAACCAAATATCCCCTCAGACAAAATAGGAATTAATTTATGTTAAAAAGCAAACAACTCATTTCAATAATATACAAGAATAGGACAAGATTAGTTAAGCTCAATTTCTGAATTAAAGAAATAGCTAATAAATCATAAAAGAATAAATATATTAATTAAATTAATTAACTGAAAACTATTCACTTATATCAGTTCTTTTTACTTTGTATCGTGTTGTAGCAGATGTCCACTTTAATCCTCAAAGTAGATCTTGAATGCACAATCTGCTCCAAGAAAATTAGGAAGGTGCTCGGCAAACTCCAAAGTAAGCAACTCCTACTTCCAATCAACGTCATTTTCTAATTATCTCTAAAAGAAACCCTATCATCAGCATTTTTTGTTTTTTCATAAAATGACGAATTATTAATTGATTTCTTTGAGATCGAGAAAACATTCGATCTGTAGAGTACAACGAAAAAGAGAGCAAAGTGATCGTCTCCGGCCCATTCGATCCCAAGAAGCTTTCCAAGAAACTCTGTTGCAAAGCCTGCAAGGTCATCAAAGATATTCAGATCAAGCAGAACAAACCCGATAAACCACCTCCACCTCCACCTCCGCCTCCGCCTCCGCCTCCGCCTCCGCCTCCGCCTCCGCCTCCACCTCCGCCTCCGCCCGATATACCGTCTACATGTCCGTACCCGTACCCATATCCGTACCCGTACCCGTACCGGTATCCGGAGGTTTGGCCTTTCATTCCAGTATGTGGATGCTATGGAAGGTGCACCTGCAAGGTGGTGCCAACTTGTGCCGCGCCATGCTACGATGGGTGCAGAACTTTGAAGTTCATCTGCGAGGACGAACCTTCGTCCTGCTCGATCATGTGATCTCTCCTTGTTATTTTAATTTGCGTTATTTTTCAATTGCGTACGATAATAAATTGGAATGTAACGGCAAATACCATATTGTCATTATTCCCTAACAATAATACTTTCTGCTTGTCCATTTGCACATTAGTGTAATCTACTCATAAATATAATAGAGATGGTTTAACTTATGATTGTAACCTCAATATTAAACCAATAATCGAAGCCCTATCGTGAGCACTCAATCGTCTCGAGACGGGGTGTAAGCGAGCCGAGACGGCTCGCAAGCCGGCTCGAGCTGGACTTATTTACGGGCTCTCGAGTCAAGTTTATCGAGCTCACGAGTCGAGCTTGAGCTTGAACTCGATTTCGAGTTTGATGAGGCTTGGCTCGTGAGCTCGCGAGCTCGCTCGAATTGCTATTTAATTTTTTTAATTATTAATATTTTTCTTGCATTTAAAAATAAAAAAAAAAGTTCAAGACTTCACTAGCTAGGTGGGTAAACAAAAATTGTGTGAGATTATCCATGTTATTAAATGTTGCAACTTTAATTATTACTAAAACCATAAAATTTTCAAAAAAATAAAAAAAATAAAAGATATAACCTAAAACGGCAGCATATATTATGTTAGAGGAGATCTACAAGCTTTTTCATCTTTACCAAAGCCATCGCAGCACCTTTAAAATTGGACGGGAAAAATAAAACCAGACGGGAAATCGGGAATTTGAACGGCTTGGCAAGCGGCTCGATGAGCTCGTTATATTGTTGTGAGTCAAGCTCGACTCGAGTTCGAGCTCGATATTCGACTCACAAGTTGAGTTCGAACACCCTCTAACTCGAATTCAACTAGTTTATGTTAAGGCTATATATGTAAATACATTAAATGTATCTAGGACCACTTACTCTCTTACACGTGTATTTCTATTCTATATATAGCTAAGACCTGTATAATGTAATACATGAAATATTAATAAAGTTTACAATGCTTTTACCGTTTCTTCTTCTTATTCCCATTCTTAATATTCTTCATGGTATCAAGAGCAGCAAGATTATGAGCTTTCGCTATGGCGACATCGGCTTCCACTTCTTCCTCGGTTGCGGCCACCTCCGGCGCACAGCCGTCCGCTCCGGTCATCTCTCAATCTCTAAAGTTTGTGATTTCGAATCTTAAATTTCTTGTACCGCACTCCCTCACGGCGGATAATTTCCCCATCTGGAGTTCGCAAATCGCAAAACTCTTCAAGGAGAATGGATTCGCTGCCTTTCTTGAAGCAAGATCGGCCACTGAAAACTTGGATCCAAATCAAGATCCGCATCAATGGGCTGTTATCGATCAGAACCTTGCAACGGCTATGTGTTCCACCATATCCCCGGCCGTTCTACCCTACGTGATTCATCTTGAATCAACTCAAGAGATCTGGTCGACGCTTCATACTAGGTTCCAATCTTCCAATCGCTCCAAGGTTATACAGCTCAAGAACGAGCTCCACAACATTTCTTTGCAATCCATGTCTATGACAGACTACCTCACCGAAGTTAAGAAAATCGTGGAACAGATTGCTTCTGCGGGATCCTCGATCGATCAGGAAGATATCATGATTTATATCCTAAACGGACTTCCGCCGGCTTATCAATCCTTCACGACCACGATTCGCACAATGCAAGGCACGATGACCCTGGACAACTTATATGCTCTTCTCATCAGTGAAGAGATCCATTTGAAATCATATCGTCGGCACTGAAATTCTCTAAAGATCCAGACAATCAATCGGCTCTGTACACATTTCGCGGTCATGGCCGTCGCGGTCGGTCCAGACAAAACCATGACACGAATACTACAAATAAATCCTCTACTCAACCCGCGGTGATATGCCAAATCTGTAAAAAGAAAGGCCACGAGGCGGATGCGTGTTGGCACAAACTCAATGCCAACTACATTCCATCCCAAGGTTCGTCTAAGAACACCAACGCTCTGGTGGCCAAATCGGACGGTCATACAGGTGTAGATTGGTACATAGACTCCGGTGCATCGTCACACATGACCAACACATCATGACCAACACATTGGAGAATCTTGCTACCTACAACACCTACAACGGCAATGACACGGTAACCATAGGGGACGGAAGATCCATCCCGATAGCTCATACGGGTGCTGGGATCCTTCCAACCCCGGCTAGTAAGCTTGTTCTCTCTCGTCTGTTGCATATTCCATCTTTGTCTTATAATTTGCTTTCCATATCAAATCTCGTTAAAGATAATCCAATCTCTATCACGTTTGACGCTATTGGTTTTGTTTTTAAGGATCGGACGAACAATCAGGTCATTCTCACCAGACCATGTAATAACGGTCTATACAAGATTCCGTCTAGGACGCAAAAGCCAACTCCAGCTTCCACGGCACTGTCTGCTAATCGGTCATCCGAAACCAATTGACATTGTCGGCTTGGACATCCTCACACCCGCGTTCTTCAGTGGATCTCGCAAAGCAATCCTGCTTTACACATATCATTTACTCGTTTTTCTTGTAACCCTTGTATGTCTTGTAAAGGACACAAATTGTCTTTTGAACGTTCTAATAGTATTACTAAAGCTCCTCTAGATCTTGTTCACTCGGATGTGTGGGGACCCTCTCCGGTTCCCTCACACCAAGGTTTTAGATACTATATAATTTTTGTTGATGATTTCTCGCGATTTATTTGGTTATTTCCACTTATGCTTAAATTCGATGTTCCTAATATTTTCAGTAATTTTGTTAGGTTTATCGAAAGGCAAACCAATCACAAACTCAAAGTCATTCGCACGGATGGCGGTGGTGAGTTTGTGAATCACCACTTCCAAGCTGTCACCAAGGCTGCCGGCATCCATCATCAAACATCGTGCCCTTACACGCCAGAACAGAATGGGGTCATAGAAAGAAAACATCGCCATATTATCACGACCACAAGAACCTTGTTACAAACCGCCGGTCTACCCATGTCTTACTGGTTGGAAGCAGCTTCTACAGCCACTTACCTCATTAACAGGGCACCGTTTGTTACAACAAAATATCTCTCGCCTTTGCAAAGAATGTTTAATATCAAACCTTCATATGAACATCTAAGAATCTTTGGATGTGAATGTTTTCCACTTTTACCACACACTCAACGTACCAAACTATCACTGACGTCTTCTTCCTGCATATTCATTGGATATTCAGACACTATGAAAGGATATAAATGTCTAAATCCAATCACAAATAAAATTATTACATCTCGGCATGTTAAGTTTAATGAACACTCTTTTCCATTCATCAACAGGTCTGTTCAAGAAGTTCCCGTCTCAACAGCTGTTCCTCATCCCCTTCTCATGCCGCCTTCTACATTGAATTCAAATGGTGGCACGAAGCAGATCAATACTTCTATTCAACCATCTGCTGACTGCACGAGACAGGATATCACGAGCCATGACATTATTCCAGCTGCTACTCATGGTCATCAAATTGATATACAAACACGGTCTGATTCCCCTCTTCGGCATCATATGACTACCAGGGCCAAAACAGGATCCCTCAAACCTGTTCAACGTCTTTATCTTCTACATCACGGGAACCATCAAAACGATCCGACCACTTTTACGGAAGCCAACAAACATGTTAAGTGGCGCAGGGCAATGACAGAGGAATTTTTTGCCCTTCAAAAACAGGGTACTTGGGATCTTATCCCACCCCCACCTAACGCCTCTACCATTGGCTCCAAATGGACTTATCAAAAAGACTCGACCAATCCGAACCATATATGTCGTCTTCGCAAGGCTATCTATGGCTTGCGTCAAGCACCACGGCAATGGTACACCACATTCACAAAATGTCTGCTACAAATTGGATTCATGCACAGCCAGGCGGATCCCTCGCTATTGATACTGCAACGGAATGATCTCCAAATTTACTTACTCGTCTACGTAGACGATATTCTTATTACTGGGAACGACGAATCCAAAATGAACAACTTGATTGATCAAATGAAATCAACATTTACAATGATGGACCTCGGACTTGCGAACCAATTTCTGGGCATCACAATCGACCACACACAAGATAAGTTTTTCCTTTCTCAATCTCAATACGCGAATTCAATTCTTCGTATGGCCGAGTTGCATAATCAATTCGGTCTCTAACCCATCTTCTTCTAAAACTCCAGTAACGAACGATGGCGACTCGCCTTGCTTTGATGCTCTTTAGTATCGACAAATTATCGGATAGTTACAATATCTAACTTTAACTCGACCTGACATTGCATTCGCCGTCAATGCATTGTCTCAACATATGCATGATCCAGCGATCCATCACACGCTGCTGCTCAAGAAATTACTTCGTTATATCAAAGGGACCATCGATTATGGACTTACGATCACTCGATCTAGTTTACAGCTGCGGACCTATTCGGACGCAGATTGGGCGTCCGATCCTCTTACCCGCAAATCCACATCCGGCTTTTGTACATTTCTGGGCGATACTATAGTCTCCTGGACAGTCAAGAAACAGCCAACCGTATCCAGATCCTCGACAGAGTCTGAGTATAGAGCTCTTGCATCGGCTACAGCAGATACTATATGGATCAAGCGTCTACTAGCCGACTTTCGCATTTCACATTCTCAGCCAGTTGATGTCTATTGTGATAATACATCTACTATTGCATTAGCCAATAATCTGGTGTTTCATGGGCGTACGAAGCACATAGAAATTGATCAGCGATTTGTCAGAGAGCACATTCAGAATAATGTCATACGGTTGCTTCCTATCAGCACAACCGATCAAATTGCTGATATCTTAACCAAACCTCTAACCACTCCACGGTTCAAAGAATTGAGATCCAAACTGACTATTACTCCCCGCTCGTCAGTTTAAGGGGGAATGTTAAGGCTATATATGTAAATACATTAAATGTATCTAGGACCACTTACTCTCTTACACGTGAATTCCTATTCTATATATAGCTAAGACCTGTATAATGTAATACATGAAATATTAATAAAGTTTACAAAGCTTTTACTGTTTCTTCTTCTTCTTCCCATTCTTAATATTCTTCAGTTTAAACCC